CTCAAAGATTTTTCGGGTCCTCTGGTCTCCCTCTCCCTACATCCTATGACCCAAAGGCATAAAACTGTTGATACCATTTCTGAAGAAATGATGAGGACTGAGGGGTCCTCTTTTGCTTTCTTCCATTATTATAATATCTTGAATTTGTATCAAGCTAATGTAATCTCAGGAAGAATCGAGGCTCTCAGTGAGTGGATAAAACACAAGGCAATTGGTGAGATGAAGGTGTGATAGCGAGACCCTCAGGAGGGAGGAAAGAATGCAGGACTGTCCGGGTTAGCCGAGCACAATGGGGAAGCAGCACAAAGACACTAGGTGTGGAGGCTGGCATTACAAAGGGAGGTGCCCAGGACAATCTCAGAAAACAGGGTAACAAGTCATGCAGGGTGGACACATAAATCAGCTACTTCACCTTTTAATTATTTATTTATTAGTTTGCTAGTTATTTTTTGAGTCAGAATCTCACTCTGTCACCCAGGCTGGAGTGCAGTGGCATGGTCACAGTTCACCCCAGGCTTGACCCTCTGGGGGCTCAGAGGATCCTCCTGCTTCAGCCGCCCAAGTAGCTGGGAACTACAGGTGTGGGCCACCATACCTGGCTGATTTTTTTATTTTTTGAAGAGATGAAGTCTCACTATGTTATCTAGGCTGGTCTCAAACTCCTGGACTCAAGTGATTCCCCAACCTCGGCTGTTCAAAGTGCTGGCATTACAGATGTGTGATCCCAGCCGTGCCTGACTGCTTCAACTTTTTGGATGGGGTTGCCTTGCATGTTGGAAGGAAAATCAGGGTAGAAGCTGTTTGAAATGCGATGATACTCATTAAATTGTACCAGTGCCAGAAAGGTAATTTAAAACCAAAACAATCATGTCACTGCATTCATATCAAGTTGTTTTATCTGCATGATAAAGACACATGATTCCAAATATTGTATTTGAGAGAGGTAAGAAGAGAATGAATACCAGGGGTGAGTGTAGGACAGAGCCAGCTCTTAGCCAAGAAAGCAATGTGGACATCACATGGTAAACCTTAATTGCCTTTCTCAATGGCATGCTTTGACTTGTGACTCTGGTAAACTCCCAAGATGTTTTCAGGACTTCACGATGGGTGTGAAATGGGGGCAAAAGCTTAAAATTTCACTGCAGATTTAGTAATGTACTTTGAGATTTAAGCTGTGCCCGCGAGGCCTGAAGAGACAAGCGATTGCCGTGGTTTATTCAGAACTCAGAATTTAAGTTTCTTTCAGTTTCCTATTAGGCTGAGCTAAACATGAATAGAGAGATAAATTAACAGACAACAGACAAACTCATATATAGAAGAGATGGATAGCCTAGTGGTTCAAACTTAGAAGAACTTATATCAGGATATTTGGATGTGAATTCTAGCTCTGCTGCTTACTGGCTGTGCATGCTTGGGCAAGATACTTCAAATCACCTGCCTCAGTTTCTCATTTTCAAAATGGAGATAAAAGAGCAACTTCTTTGAAAGACAGTGTAGTGATTTCTGAAAGAACTAGAAATTGACCTTCCATATGACCCAGCAATTCCCCTATTGGGAATATACCCGGAGGAACTCAAATCATTCTAACAAAAAAAGAGACCCGCACGCATGTGTGTTGCAGCTCTATTCACAATAGCAAAAACATGGCACCAACCACATTGCCCATTGTAGCTGGACTGGATAAAAAAAATGTGGTATGTATACACAATGAAATATTATGCAGCCATAAAGAAGGACAAACATATGGACTTCGCAGCAAGTTGGATGGATTTAGAGTGGATCACATTCAGAGATCTATCACAGAAACAAAGAACACAGTACCATATGTTTTCACTCATAAGCGGACCTTGAACAATTATTATAATACTATAAGAAAGGGGTTGGCAGTAGTGGGAAACTGTCAGGGGAGGGGGGTGGGATTGGCAGTTGAGGGAAACTGCTAGGGGAGGGAGGGGGATACCTCATCAACAAAGGTACCTGCGTAATCAACTTTTGTATACCTAACCCTGGATTGTACCCCACATCTTTATAACAGAAAAAAAGAAAAGAACCTACCACAGAGGGTTGTTTTGAGAATTAAACGGCATAATGCAGACACAGTGTTTCGTTGGTACCACGTAAACAGTAAGTGCTCAATAAATGTTACTTTTCTATATTTACTTATTTATTTTTAGCCAGGGTCTTGTTGTCGAGGCTGGTCTTGAACTCTTGGGCTCAAGTGAGCTCTAGCCTCAGCCTCCAGAGTAACTGGGATTACAGGCATGAGCTACCCAATCTGGCTTATTTAAATAGTTTAATTGGGCAAAAGGCAGTAGTACTCCACTGCATTTCTTTACTCATACTCTCTGGGCACGTAAGCCTTCTCATATAGTATAGAATCTCTTCCAGAAAGTTCTACATTGATCTGACCATGAGGTTTTCCAGCTTCCCCGAAAGTGACGTCAGTACTTCCAGTGACATCAAGGACATGAACTCCTTGAACAGTGATCATGGTTCTCCAAGCTTTGCCAGCTCTTAGTTTTCTTGACAGAATCCACAGAATGACCTCTTAATATCAGTCTCAGGTATTTTATATTTAAATATTTAAGAAAATAGGAAGTATCTCTTATTAATTCTCCAATCATTTACATATTTTTCCTTATATATTATTTCAAAAAGTGTAGATTTATCCATGCCAATTTACCTTTAGAATTTCAGCCTCCCAGAATCTAAAATTTGGCCCTCTCTGGGACACATGTTTCTTTCAAATATTGCCCATGTGCTCACCTTTTTAATGTATCTTTACAATTGAAATGTCATAATTTATACGGAGATGTCATATGAGGAAAAATAACCAGATCACCCTGAAAATTTTATAGACTTAGCTTTGTAATGGCTTTAGGGATGTCATTTTGACTTTGTGCAACCCAGAAATTAGATGCTAGTTTATTTTTGAGAATTTCTAAATAAGGAGATTTCTGAATTACTACTGGAGACAACTTTACAGGGGTTTAACTACTATGTGACAATGATTCCTAGAGAAATAAAAAATTCCAGGCATGATGGCTCACACATCTAATCCCAATGCTTCGGGAAGTCAAGGAAAGAGGATCACTTGAGCCCAGCAGTTTGAGATCAGCCTAGGCAAAAATCCTAGCACTTTAGGAGGCCAAGGAAGGAGGATAGCTTGAGCCCAGGAGTTTGAGACCAACCTGAGGTAACATAGCAAGACTCTGTCTCTATAAAAGAAACACATTTTTTTTTTTTTTTACAAAAGAAGAATGCTGAGAGTCAGATGCTGGTTCAACTATAGACACCTCCAAACACAGCCCCCCAAATACTGGAGATGAAGGTGGAGGATGGAATGCGGTGAATTCCTACTCTGAAATCGCCACTCTAACTGAAACCAATTATAATTTAAGAGACTCTATTTCTGGACATGCTTAGTTTAAACTTGTGAGTATTGATCAAACTTAAGCCTCACAATTTCACTCAGGCTATTCCAGAACCATTGATGCTTTTTTCCCTGGGGTTTAAAGAAGTAAAGTCACTTGACTCAGCTGCTCCAAAAATTCCTGTCAGAAGTTTATGGCTACTACTAAGGGATAAGACATCAGCTGATATTAAACCATAATGCTCTGAATAAAACATGGCTTAGGATTGCATGGAGTGGCAAAGATAGCAAGCTGTCCGGTGAGACCCTTCCTCCCCTTAGGTGCACAGCTGGACTACATGTCCAGACTCTCTGTTGCGAGGTGGCCTGTGAGGCCAAGGTCTACAATGCAATGTCAGCAAAAAAGAGGTCTGCCATTCCTAAGCTGGGGTCTTAAAAGAGAAGCCATGCCTCCTCCGTGTTCTTTTTCTCTTTCTGCTGGAGACAAAGAATCCAACAGTTCCAGAGTAACCAAGAAAGCTCCATGCTGAAGACTTCAAACAGAGGCTCTGCCTGCCAGGGTTTCAAATGACTGCATAGAGGGACCCTTGCCCTGCACTGATGTATGTAAACCATGGCATATTTGATTTACTTGTTGATTCAGCACATCTTGGCTACTATCTATGCCATATTTTAAAATCGTACTCTCTTACTAAAAATCAAGCGGTAGAGCAGATACCCAAACTTCACTTTACTATTGTTGACTTTGTCAGAGATGTTTTCACATTCAACCTCTGAAAAATAATAATTCTGGGAAAATATATGCAAAAGTTTTAAAAAAATAGTACTGCAGTAAAATAACTTAAAATAACATAAAAAGTCACAAGTGAAAATAATAGAAATAACCATATGCTTCATAATTTTGATTTTATGCAATAGAAAACTTCACGGACAAGGCTCAATGGCTCAGGTTTGAGATCAGCCAGGCAACTTGGCTAGACCTCGTCTCTACAATAAATAAAAATTTAGTCGGGCACAGTAGTGCATGCCTGTAGTTCCAGCTACTTGGAAGGATGAGGAGGAAGGCTTGCTGGAGCCCAGCAGGTTGACGCTGGGGTGGCCGTGAGTGTGCCACTGCACTCCAGCCTAGGCAACAGAGTGAGACTCCAACTCAAGAGAAAAAAAAAAAAAAGAAAACATCACGAAACAGTCTGGGTATAGTAACCCATTGTTTTGGGAGGCCAAGGCAGGAGGATTGCTTGAGCCCAGAGTTTAAGACCAGCCTGGGCAGTATAGCAAGACCTTGTCTCTATAAATAAATCAAAAGTTTAGCCGGGAGTGGTGGAGTACACCTGTAGTCCCAGCTACTTGGGAGACTGAGGTAGAAGGATTTCCTGAGCTCAGAAGGTCAAGGCTGCGGTGAGTTGTGATTGTGCCACTGTACTCTAGCCTGGGTGACAAAGTAGGACTTCAACTCAAAAGAAAAAAAAAAGGAAAAGAAAAATGAAAGAAAGAAAATTCCACACAACTACAAAAATAAATCAAAGATTTCAAACCTGAGTTGATAATACATACATTTTGAACGTTGTTTTTGTGGTCCAGTTGGCTTGTAAGAAAATGTTACTGTGAACATTATGCCCACCCTTACCTGCTAAAGACGACATGTTGATAATGATGCCGCCTTCCCCGCCATGCTGCTTACTCATGTAGTCCAAACCAAGATACGTCCCGCTGATGACAGAAACCTAGCCCAGAGGCAAAAAATTTCAAAAGCGAGTCATTATTATCATATATTCTCACACCAATGTTTTTATTGCCATTTCAGATATCTAAAAAGATTTCTGCCAATACTATCAGGAAAAGCTTTTTTTTTTTTTTTTTTTTGAGTTGGAGTCTCACTCTGTCGCCCAGACTGGAGTGCAGTGGCCGCTCCCGGCCACCGCAGCCGCGACCTGCTGGGCTCCTGCGATCCTTCCGCCTCAGCCTTCTGAGTAGCTGGGACTACAGGTGCGCGCTACCACGCCTGGTTCATTTTTGATTTATTATGGAGATGTGGTCCTGCCAAGTTGCCCGGGCAGGTCTCGAACCCACGGGCTTAGGCAATCCACTCACCTCGACCTCCCAAAGCGCTGGGATTATAGGCTGAGCCACTAAGCCTGGCCAGTAAAAGCTTTTGATCATTATAAGATTTTTATGCTACAGGTTGTATTCCAACAGCATGTTGTGTCACTTTAACTCAATGGTCAGCATCTTCCTTCATTCTCTACTTTGTTTTTACTTTCTAAATATTGGAAGTGAAACATATTTCCCCTTCTTCTTAGCATATGGTTCTCATGTCCAAGAATTCCATGCATGTCTGCTCTGTTTAATTCTCTTGATCTTGGAGAATAGAATAGTGGATACTCTTCATTTCCTCAGGTTTCCATTTTTCCCTTTTTTCTTTTGAACAAAAATTCCATTTTGCTCTTGCATCTACCTCTTCTCCGTAGAATACAAAGGAAGGTGCTCTCTCCAGAAGTGATGCAGACACTGGCTAATCTAAATAAATCATGGAAATGGAAATCCCATTCTCTCAGATATCGGCTGGTTTAGGAGCCAGTGTTTGACCCAGTTCTGGTCAGTGAGACCCAAGGGGCTATCAACGAGAGGTGGGGGAAGAATCCTGCTGAGAAACTTTTTGTGGCTCTTAAGAAAACCAGGAAGAAATGGTTCTACTGCCCTACTCAATGGCTTCATCTCTGTTCGATGACCAGAATGAACAAGTTATATTTGCTAGCATCCTGAAGATGAAACCAACAAAAAGAATGATAGTGGGAGGGAGGAAAAGCCCTTTGGTCCTGATGGTACCATTGATTTGTAGCATCAAGCCATACTCAACTCTGTGGTGTGTGGAATCATAATGGTTGGATCCAGCTTACCTGGAGATTTCTAGCTCCTGGGTCATGGTCTTCAGTAATGTCTATCACTTCAATGTGGCACTGCTTATGGCTATCCTTTCACTGTTTTGCTACTTATCTCCATGGGGAGACACTCTTCCTGAATTTATTCTAACATTTAAGAATTCACCACCACCAAAAACAACCTGGGAAATGAAACTGATATATAAAACCTTACTTTTCCTTTTAGACCTAAGAACTCCTCTCCTTTCCAGCTCAGACTTTTTAAAGTGAAAATCTTTCTTGACATCTTAAATCTGACTTTTTAAATGGTTTACAATGTTGTGAAGAAAATGATACAATAGCTGGGTGTGGTTGTTCATGCCTTTAATCCTAGCACTTTGGGAGGCTAAGGCAGGAGGATGGCTTGAGTCCAGGAGTTTGAGACCAATCTGGGCAACATAACAAGACCTGGTCTCCACAAAAAAATTTTAAAAATTTAACCAGTTGTGGTAGTGTACACCCATAGTCCCAGCTACTTTGGAGGGCGAGGCAAAAGAATGCTTGAGCCTATAATGTCAAGGCTGTGGTAAGCCATGACCATGTACTGCACTCTAGCCTGGGCAAGAGTGAGACCCCGACTCACCGAAGCTGAGAGCACACGCTGGTGTTTACCTTCTTTTTATCATTAAAAAAATCCTTTTTGAGTTTTCTTGGCAAGCATTCAGGGATTTCTCTCCTACCTAATAGAAGTTCCAGAACAAAACAGTAAATTGAAGGTTCTGTTCATTTAAGCCATATGTCAGTTTGATATTAAGTAGGCTTAGGGAGAGTGGATGAAATCTCTACATGAATCCCTTTAAAAAGGAGAAAAACAAGCATTAATTGTTTATATAAGATGGGAAAAATGTAGATGGCTGAAATTACTGAAGTCAGTTAGATTCTGTTAGTTTCTGCCCAAGTCTCCAGCATGTCTGAACAGAATTTCTGTTTACACTTATTGGCGCTATGCTTTCATTCTCAGGTATTTGCAGCTTTGCTGACACCTGACTTTTGTGTTTTTAACATCTGTAAGACGGAGTCAGATAGAAAATTTGGGAATGTTGAAACTTTACTTAATTAAAACAATACTTATCTCCACACCTTTGGTGGAGAAAAAGGGATTATTTTTCTCATCCATTATCAAGTTAAGAACTGAGTAACTTTTCAAATGAAAGTGTTCCTAACCTGAATCTACAAGACAAAGTCTAATATTTTGGCTATGTACAAATGACATTTTTCACCTTTCTCTGTTACTATAACAATCTCTTCCTTATCCCAGATTATATTATATATTAAAAGAATTGTTTTAAAACAAAAGAGTAAAATGTTTCCTGTTAATATTCTAAATATTGTTTGCCCTTTAGCAATGTTTATAGATCTTATGAATTGAGTAATTATAATATCAAGCATCTAGAAAAAAAAAAATTATAGATGTTTCTAGATACAAACAAAAATAACTGGAATCTATATTATTATTTTAGCCCCAATGTTTAATTGCACATAGAGAATTTAAAAATTTCAATTGTTGACAAAATGATCTAATTAATACATGATTGTTCAATATATTTGGTTATGAGGAGACAAACTTATATGTAATACCAAAACTATATTATTTGTTATATTACAAATCTTAATTTTTTCATTAAAGTATTATATTACTTAAAATCACTCTCATAAACTCTCCCATGATGGGAATAATTCTCTGGTAATAGAGATAATTGAATAAATGTAATAGTCTACTTTTTAAACTCTCTTCTTATCAGGCATCATGTCTTTCTATAACACACACATGCACGCACATACATGTGTGCACACGCATACAAACACACACGCCTTTTCATGACTGAAATTCCCAATGTGTTATTTCTATATTTCCTCTTAGTTAATTTAAGGTCCTCATAGTACACTGTAATTTTTTATAAGTCAGGGTCTCATTCTGTCACCCGGGCTGAACTGCAGTGGTACAATCTTGGCTGGCCGCAGGCTCTAACTCCTGGGCCCAGGCAGGCAATCCTCCCCCTTAGGCCTCTGAGTATTTGAGACAATAGGCGCATGCCACCATGCCCAGTTATTTTTATTTTTATTTTTTTTGTAGAGATGAGGTCTCACTATATTGCTCAGGCTGGTGTCAAACTGCTGGGCTCAAGCAATCCTCCCACCTCAGATTCCCAAAGTGTTGAGATTATAGGCATGAGCCACTGCACCTGACTGACTGTAACTTTAAAAAAATCTGGTATATAAATCACGCAATTTTGCCTTTCAGGTTCTTTGTGCTTTCTCCAGCCCAGTTCTCAAGGAATTCTAATAAAGTTGACTATTTTTTTTTCCTGAAATCCCTTTGAATCCTTTATCTTTTCATGTTCAAATTTTTCCATTTTTGTTTGTTTTAGGGCTAAGTGTTATTGTCTTTCCCATTGTTGGAGTTACTTACTATTTAGCAAACTCTGCCTAACAGTGAAAAGTTCAAATGGATCTTTAGATATTATAGAGTACCAGTTGCAGTAAGTAGTTACTGATTTAATTTGTAATCTACATCCTTCTGAGTCAAGTAAAATAGCACATTTGACAACATGTTTCTATCTACTTCCTTAACTCTTCATTGGAGGTAGAATAAGGCAGAGGGATACACATCCATAAAAGTAGGCTAGTGAGAAAAATGTAGGTTTTGATAACCTGGAAGGAAAAGCCAATTCACTGAAAGAATACCATGCATCAGCACTGTGCTGGTGAGTCACACAAACTATGGCTTCTTTAAGCTTAAAGGTCCTTAGAAGAAGGCAGTTGACCTTCCCTATTTCACAGACTGGGAAGTTCAAGATTGGAGAAATAAAATAACAGTTTGTTAATTGTAGATTCTGGACTGGACCTTAACTTTGATTAATTCCAAATGCATACCTTTCCTAGCGCAAATCTTTAGTAAACTAGTGTATTTCTGGAGAAAAAAAAAAAACAAAACTCCTGCAGTAGCCATCTCTTTTGTTTAATTTTTATTTAAATTTTATTTACTAGATATATGCTCAAATTGAATGATAAATCCCATCTCAGTAGGAATGCATTATCTAGGTTTATGAAAGCCTCAGAAAGTTGAAGAACATTACAGAATTACCTTATCAATATTCAAAGTTAAGTCTACCTCTGCCTGATTGCCAGACTGACCTTTGGTAGTTTTGCAAAGACCCACTCTTTCCTGACATTCCTTGTGAATTCTGAGCAGCCATAAATAAAGCTGCTGTTGTTGGTTTCGAACCAAGGAGGAAGTAAAGAATAACCTAATGAAACAAAAGACCAGAAAGAGTTATGGTGTATTCCTTGTGCGGGAAGAGTCATGAGATAAGCAGAGTGGAAAATAAGGAAAGGATAAGTTTGGCAAGGAATAAAAGTGGAAGGACAGATGATACTGTCTGGAACAACTGATGTATTAGGAAATCAGCCAAACATTGCACTGAAACAGAAATGAATATGTGAGTATGAAAAATATGATATACAGGTAATGGCAACTGATCCAGTAACTATTAATTAACTTCTTCTCTATAAGGACATAAAACAATGGTTTTCTTTTTCTTTCTGAGTTGCGTCTTACTCTGTTGCCCAGGCTGGTGTGCAATGGCTCGATCATGGTTCATCGCAGTCTTGATTTGCTGGCCTCAGGTGATCCTCCTGTCTCTGCCTCCCAAGTAGCTGGGACTACAGGCATGTGCCACCACACATGACTAAGTTTTGTTTTATATTTGGTGGATATGGGGTCTCACTATGTTGCCCAGGCTGATCTCAAATTCCTGGACTCAAGCAATTCTCTCACTTCAGTCTACCAAAGTGCTGGGATTATA